CAATCTAAATTCCATCAACTGAGAACAAATGTGGCATATCCATAGAATTAAATATCATTCAGCCATGCAAAGGAAGGAAGTGCTGATAAATACCACAACATCAATGAAGCTCCAAAACATGGATGCTAAATGAGAAAAGCTAACACAGAAAGTGTGATTGCATATTTGGTGACTTCGTTTCCATGACGTGTTCCGAGTAACACAGTAATGTGCTGTAGACACAGCAGATTAGTAGTTCCAAGCGTCGTGGGAGAGGGAGTGGGAGTGACCGCTTAATGGGAACAGTGTTTCCTTCTAGGGTGATGAAGATGATCTGGAACTGAGTGATGGTGATGAGGATGTGGAACATCACGCACGCACTGAACTGCACTGAATCAGCTGTGTTAAAATATCCAAGAGCAAAGAGGAGGCTCACTAGTAGAGCTCTTGTTCTGGATTCAATCCCTAGCACTGCAGATAAGTAAATAAAACATTAACATGGGGAGATTTCTGCTATGTGGATATTAACACAACAAATCCAAAAGAATTTCTGCGGGATAGACTGGGGTGTGAGAATGAGAGAGGCAATGGAGATGCCTCATGACTCTTAAGGCAAGAAGGACCAAGGGGCCTTTGAGGCTCTGCACAGTCACCCACCTTCAGTCCAAACTGTCTCCTTTCTCTCCTCTTTCTAGGCATACTCTTTCCACTTTGCTCGTTTTGCCCTGTTCTTCCTCCTACCAGATCTTTCTCTGATTCTTGGCTTGGCTCCTGTCTCAGTTACTTTTCTCTCCTTGCTGGGACAAAATACCCACCATTGAAAATTAAGGAAGAAAAGGATTATTTAGCTCACTCTGTGGAGGTTTCAGTCCCTACTCAGCTGGCTCCAAGGCAGGTGGCACACAGCAGGGGGCACAAGTTCATGACAACAGAAATCACCAAAACAGCAAAAGCAAAGAAAGGAGCAGAGGTGGTAGCAGCAGAGAGAATGCAGGCCTCTCTCCCTTCCTTACGTTGCATTCAGGCTATCTGCCCTAGGGAGAGTGTAACACTTGCACCCATAATCCCAGCATTGGATCATGAATTAATCACAAACTCTAGACGCCCACCCCAGTGACTGCATGAGGCTTTTGGGGGACAACTAGACATACACCATAACAGCTACTGTCCTTTTTGTTTATGATTCAGTTGTGCTGTCACCTCCCTCAAACACTTCCACACCCTTGACTGGCTCTCTTGCATCTGTTGTGTCCCAGGTTTCTTTTCTAAAATTTTTATACCATGTGTACCCCCTATCATGTCACCCAGGCACTTGCCTAAGACAAATCAAGAAGAAGAAAAAATCCAGCCCAGTTTAAGTAAAACTGAAGTAGGGAAAAATGGAGTTTAGTTGTAGCAGTTCTTACCTACCATGAAAGGATGAGGCTGGGGAGATGCTCAGTGTTCTAAGCACACTGAGTTCTGAGTTCTGAGTTCTGAGTTTGACTCCCAGTACCACCTGTGTTCCTTGGCTCCAGTGCTCCACAATGCCAGGACGAGGGATCCCAGGCACCATGGTGCAGTGGGACCACATCCTAGCCGGCATATAGTCACACTCATGATTAGGCTACCAGCACGCTCTTTCTCCGTCCGCTGACAATCACACGTCACACTCAGGCTCATGCTCATTTTAAAACCAATCACTGACCAAGAAAACAAGTACACTGTGATTATCTTAGATCACTCACGACCTCCCCATGATGGGAAAGGGGACTCGTTCTCCAAAATGTGTGCTCAAGCAGGGAGACAGTTACCAGGACTAATTCAGTCTCATTAGGAAAAGGGAAAGGAGAGTGACTATTGAAGTAAAAACTGTCAGGGTTCTCTAAAGAAACAGAACCCAGAATCAAAGGATGAACAAATAGATGTTTGTATTTGTGCCAATATGTACACTGTCATCCTTCAGTATCTAAAATTGGGTTTATCCTAGGACTCTCCACGAATACAAAAATCCACAGATATACAAAAGTGGCATAGTATTAATGTATGCACATCAGATGGTATAGTATTGTTAACCGGTGCACATCTTCTTTCATGTTTTATATAATGCTAGACCTTTTATAAAGCCTAAGATGATACAAATGCTAAACACACAGTTGTACTGTATTATTTAGAAAATGACAAGGGGATTGTTCCAACTTTTGATCCCCTGTGGGCCACCAAGTTGACTTTACACAACTATATTTCTAAAAACAAACAAAACAAAACAAAACAAAACAAAAAACTTAAAGGGCCCAGCCTTATGATGAATCCTCAGAACTACTCCCCCACCCAAAAAAAAGTAAAAGAAAGAAAGAGAACACCTATAACCACCAAAAACAAAGTAAAAAAAAAATCATCCATACATGTTCAATACAAATCCAACTTTTTCCAAATATTTTCAGTCTGTGATTGGTTGAGTCCACAGATGCAGAAGCCACAGACACAGAGGAGCCACTACACACACATACACACACACACACACACACACACTCACACAATCACATGTATAAAGTAATATATTATAAAACACTGACTCACAGTTATGCAGGCAAAGATTTCTCAACATTTGCAGTCAGCAAGCTGAAGATGTAGGAGAGCTGGTGGTTCGAAAGGGCTGAGACCCATGAAGAATCAAGTTTCCACTCAATTGCAAAGGTAAGGCCAATTGTTCCAGCTGATATGATAGGGCAGGTCTTCCCCATACTCTGCCTTTTTTGCTCTATCCCATGTCTTCAGCTGATTCCATGAGGCCCACCACACCAAATCTCATCTAGCAATACCCTCACAGCACACCTACAGGGGTGTCTGACCAATGTCTGGGCACCCTTCACCCAACAGACACAGAAAATTAACCATCATAGCAATAGGGAACATTGTTCACATGGGACACCCGACAGAATGTCATTTGGATTACTCTGTACTGTGAGGGCTTCAGTTGGGCATCAGCCTCTCTTACTGTTTAGTGACATATTTATGGTTAAGCTGTTTAAATTCTCTGGGTCACTACTATAAAATACAGACAAGAGAAGTAACCTACATCATAGCGTTGACTGGTAGATTAAATGAGATAACTTGTGACATTCAAAGCATCGTATCAGACACTTGAAGTGCTGATAAATTGCAACTGCTGTTATCATTACTACAGTAAGGATTGTGTTATGGTTTGTGTCTAGTTGTCCCCCCAGAGCTTCACACAGTCATAGGGCAGACTGCTAGAGTTTATGATTAAATCATGATGCACTGGGATTATGGGTATGAGTACTACACCCAGCCTGGGGCAGGTAGCCTGAATGCTACCTTAAGGGAGACAGACTTGCTCTCTGTAACCATTGCTGCTGCTACTCCTCCTTTACTCTTGCTCTTTGCCACCACCATGAACTGCTGTCCTCTGTCATGTGCCACTCAGCCTTGGAGCTAGCAGAGTATGGACATAAACCTCCATTAACTGTGAGCTAAATACACCTTTCCCTCCTTTATTTTGGGTGTCAGGTATTTGGCCCAGCGATGAGAAAAGAGTAACCGCCAGGTTGTGAGGTCATTCATGGTGCCAGTTATACATACATTGCTAATTCTTCAGTCTTTGCTCCTCTGAAATAGAAGGCTTCAGACGCATTTCTCACTTCAGTTGAGCTGTGCTGAGCTTCCTGGATAAAAGATGCTGGGTGGATAGTATAGGAGGAAGCAGCCACTTACTGGTCGCAGCTGCTGCATCATTGGCCAGTGGTCTCCTTGTGAGTCCTGGCCCAAAGGGCTGGGGTCAACGGCGGGATTCTCAGATCCTGGGGAATTCTTTGGGCTCCAAGTAAGCCGATCTTAAGTGATGGTGTGCTAGTGGTGAGCTTCAACTCCTGGCTGACAGGGGCTTCCTACTGAGGGCAAACTTCCGGGAGAACTATACTCTCCTATGATCTGCACATAGGGAAGGGAGGCACTTCTGTTCTGGCCTTTGATGAATGATACCATAGATCTTGGAAGGCTCTAGATAAAAATGCTAATAAAAGTAGAGCCGCAGTTAACTTTTATTGTTGCTGGCCTTTCTCCTCTGGGCCTGTACAGACAATATCACACCTAAGAATCAAGTCATTCTGAGCCCTTCTACGTCCACTTTATTTTTTATATTTATTTATTTTTATGTATTTGGTACAGGGTCTCACTACGCAGCTCGGACTCATAGTGATCCTCCTGTTTTCAGACTCCCCAGTGCTGGGATTTCAGGTGTCTACGTGTACTTTAAAGATGCCAAAACTGAGGCCCTGGTGTTAACAGTACCTCCACCATCTTACATTACTTTATTTCTGTAAGTCTGGCACCTTCAGAAGCCCAAGGGGTTCTTTCCCAGCTCCAGGCAGGGTGTAGGACAGAGGGCGCGGGGCACGCGGGAAGTAGGCAGGGTTGAACTCAGCCGGTAGGCGGTGCAGTGCGTGCAGAGTGAGGCGGCCACGCGGGTCCTGACACATGCATTCAATCTCGTCTCACAGGACAGACCCTCTGCACACGGATGCCGAGCACCGATACTTGCTCTGGAGGCGGAGGTGCCGCCCCATCCCACCAGTCCGCCCCCTGGCGTCCTCCCCCTCCATTGTCCATCATGCTTGAGCTGCTCCACAGGATTTGAGGGTTGCCTGAGCTGAGGAGGGGCCACCGCTCACCCCGCCCCCGACATCGCACGCTCAGCCATTCCGTAAGCTTAATACCTCCCCGCGCGGCTTCAAGAGTTGGCCTTTGAGCAAGGGCTTTCCGCCCCGCCTCCTCTGACGTCACGAATCTGCCGTCAATCACTCTCGGCCCCGCCCCAAGCGGCTGCCTCAATTCGCGGAGAGGAGGTGCCACAGCGGATCCCGCCCGCCCCTGACGTCGGCACCCTGCTCCGCCCTCACCCTTTGCCCCGCCCCGCGCGGCTGCTGTAGTTCCAGGCGTGGAGGAGGAGGAGCCGATGCCGACCCCGCCCCTGACGTCACGCCCGGCGCTGTCCCTCACGCTCGGCCCCGCCCCAAGCGGCTGCGGTAGTTTGAGTGGAGAGGCAGGTGTTGGTTCAGCTACCGCCGCGGACAACACCGGACCTTGCCAGCCATGACTTCGGCCCCTGCGGGTAAGGACGCGCGCGGGACGGCGGGAGGGCAGCCGGGAACGCTCCCACCGCGCGGCTGACTGGCTTTCGTGCTTGTCCCCAGAGGCGGAGACCCGGCAGAAGCTGCTGCGCACCGTGAAGAAGGAGGTAGGTGCAGGTGACCCCGGGACTGGGGCGACCCCGCCACTGGAGAACGAGGCTCCACGGAGAGGCAGCCACCTCAGAGGCGAGCTCCCCCGGTGGGCGTTGCTTCCTGCAGGCCTGAGGGCAAGTGGAGTTTGGGGGGCTAGGGGGTGTCCAGGAGCTTGGGTGGGGGAGGGGGAACCTCGGTGTTTTTAAACGTTGTGCAGAGGGGGAGACAGCTGGAGGGGTCCTCCCGTAGGTGTGGTACAGCGGGCGGCTTGTAGGTGGAACTCAGTGAGAGGTCTTCCTTTAGTGTTTACAGCCGTCGCCCACCGAGGTTGTTGTAGAGGAGGGGAGAGTTTATAGTGACTGGGGCAGGAATAGCATTTAGGTGCCTGTACTGCGTGAGAATGTGTTTACGCACACACCTGTGGATGGAGATGTGATGTATGTATGTGTGTCTCTGTGGAGGTACCCAAGTTGATCTCTGTCATGTGATCTGTATGTGTGTATAATTTTTTGAACGTGAACCTATGTATACTTACGTGACACATGTGTGCATGAACATATAAGGCTAAGGCAGTGATCATGTGTGTGTTTATGTTGTCTGTTCGCATCCTTCAGCCTGAGACACCATTGCTGTCGCCTGCATCTTTTGAGTCCTCTGTCCAGGAACCCTGCTTGGCTGTAGACCTTGTACCCAATCCTGCTCCCAGTGCTTGGTTTCCTGGCCATTTGTTAACGTGTGTTATAGTTGGCACCTCTGAAATACAGAGAAGCCTTTTATGCGGCAGGCAGCCAGCCAGAAAAGGCAGCCTCTAGGCTGGGACCTGTTGCTGCCCCACCCTCCACAGGAAGCACGTACAGTGTTGGTGTTCATATGTTTCTGTGTGTGTCATGTCCCTTTGTGTTTAAAGAAACAGCTCTAGAGCTAACTGTACTTTCTGGCATGTTTTAATAAAGAGACATGCAAGATATATGTATTCCTCAGAAAGCCAGGAAGTTTTCATCTCAACCTTTCTTTTTAATGAAATGGTTGTTCAGTGGAGGAGGCAGCTGTAGACAGAAAAGAGTATCAGCAAGTCATCTCGGGAAGGTTCTGACTGAGTTCCTGGGCCCCTTAGAACCCTGCACAAGTCCAGGACTCAGTTTCCCCATCTATAAAAGAAAGCAGTAGTCCTGGTTTCCCAGATCTGGTACATGTCAGGCTAGGATGGGCTGCTGAGCAGGCATTGCTCCTGGTACCCAGAGGGCTGGGCCAGTCTCCTAGGAACAGCCGTTAGGGCTTGGAAGGAGCTGTCTCCTGGCTTGAGGGCTGAAGCCAGCTTCTAATCAGCTAGACCTCTGATTACCATATGTGTTGCCTGAGATGGGTAGATGCAGAACCTTGCTAGAGGCAGATACATTAAACTGCCGATATAGAATCCAAAGGTAAGTTTCTTGGTTGCAAATTCTTAGCTGTTTCTAAATTCTGAATTTATTGAGGCCAATTGTTTCATTAATGATAGCTTCTGTTTACAGGGGGAAGCTATATGCCTTGCCTTGAGTAAACATTAACCTTATAAAGTGAGTGGAGTTGTCTCCATTTTATAGACAAGGAAACTGAGGCTCGTGGTCCCTGGGGAGGACCACTAAACCAAGAAGGGGCAAAGTCAGGAGTTACCTCCCCGCTCGATCTGACTTCAGAGCCAAGCTTAGCTACAAAATATGCCCATCCATGCCTATAAGATGCCACAGTCTTGGGATGTGTTGGTGACGTAATCTTCACTGTACAAATGAAAATATCCTGGAGCAGAGAGTAGGGCTTGTTTCTAGGACAGAGAATAGGTGCAGGGGACAGGTTCAAGTCTGGCATTTTTTATCTGTCTGATGAGCACTGGGTGCCCCTGAGAGCTTACATCTGTGCCCTCCAAAGCAGCCATCTCCTCTCCATTCCTTCCTTTGCTTACCTCTGGGGACAGCAGGATTTGAGGGATGGGATTCCCCTCTCATAGCCTCATCCTCCTTTATGAAAGGAGTACTGTAGGGATCAGCCTCTGTCTTAAGATAAGCCAGGCATGTGTGTAAGCTTGGTCTGAGCCACTGCAGCCACCAGGAGAAGGGGAGAGGTCATGGGCTGTAAGCTTTGTTCCATGCTGATGTAGGAAGCCATCAGGACCTAGTGCCCAGGCGGCAGGGCAAGAAGGTGCCTGGTTGAGGTTGGAGATGTGACCGAGTGATAGGGCGCTTGCCTCAGCACTTCCTAGCCTGCACAAGGCCCTGGGTTTGAACCCCAGCACCACCCCCACACACAAGCACTTTGACTCAGCCAGAGCAGGGTCCAAATCCTGAATGCAGTTCCAATGATGTGTGCGTCTAGTGCTGAGCCAGCTCCTAGGCACAGTGATAAACAAAACAGGCATGGCTTCTGTCCTGGCACTGACATCTGGCTGCAGGAGACAGACTCTGGCAGAACCTTGAGTGGGATTAAGAGAAAAGATACAGAGGGTCTAGAGATGAGGCACTTGGCACCGCAAGAATACAAAATGATCTGTGGTGCAGCTTAGTAGTAGAGCACATGTGAGACCTGGGTTGCATCCCCACTATCAAGGAAAAAAAAAGGATTACAGAGCACGGAAGAAATAAAAAGATGCATGGGAGGGCCGGCGAGATAGCTCAGCGGACTAAGCACTTGCTTAGGTAAGCGCAGGGGCCAGAGTTCAATCCTCGGCACTGCATGCTGTGCCAGCAATGGAGTCCAGGCGTGGTGGCGCACACCTGTAATCCCAGCACTAGGGAGGCTAAAAATAGGATCACTACACGTCTGAGCTGTGGAGTGAGACCCTGCACGTGCACACGTGCGCGCGCACACACACACACACACACACACACACACACACAAAAGAGATGCATGGAGCAAAGGAAGTTCTTTTGCAAGGATATGATTTTTTCTTTTTTTTTCTTTTCTTTTTTTGTCTTGTTTTGTCTTGTTTTGTTTGGGTACTAGGAATTGAACTCCTTGCACTTACCGGACAGGCACTGTTCTACTGAGCTATATCCTCAGCTCCCCAAGGATGTGTGATGTTAAATAACATATAAAATATGACTTAGGCTGTGTAGGTAGTTGTGTGAGATAGAGGGAGAGAAAGAAAAACCATTCTGGACTATAGGAACTGTTTGTACAGAAGACTATGGCTGTAGAGAACAAGGTGGATTTGGAGGAACCCAAGTAGTTGGAGCAGAGAGAAAGAATAATTGTTCTGGATGGTGCTCAGTCTCACCAAGCAAGAGAAGAGAGTGGGGATGAACAAAACTGGCAGTCCGGAAAGAAGAGAGTAGACCTGAAATCCAATGCTTATGATTTGCATGCCCTGGATGGGATGAGTGACTATCTTTATCTTCACAAGAGCCTGACTTTAGGTTTATTCATTATGTGAATGAAGATTACTCACCTGGCAGGGTAACCTCTATGAAAACACCCACCATGTTTGCCTAAGCTTTTCCAGAGAAGAGTGTGTGTGTGTGTGTGTGTGTGTGTGTTTCTACCACCGAGGGAGAGCTGGAGGCAGTGTGGCCTCCAGATGATTTCCTCCAGGTAGCTCCAGCCAGCTGCACCCTGGCTCCTTGCTTGCTCTTGTTGCCCTCCCTGCCATCTTTTAATTTTGTTTTGGCTCCCAGAGCTAGCGGACTGGCTTCCTGTTGTCATGACAACAGCCATTAAAAGAGCCAGCCACATGATACAGGTTGATAAAGGAAGCAAAGTGACTAACTGCCTTGTTTTCCTGCTGCAGACTGGGCCTGGAGGGGGGGAAGGCGAGTGTTTGTGGGCAGCAGTTCAGACCCCGGGAAGGGGGCAGGGAGAGGCAGCAAGTCCTGCAGGGGAAGCCACATTTAGCGCTGTGAACTGAGCTGAAACGGCCTTGACTGTGGAGCCATCACAGCTTCAGAGCAGAGAACATGGAGAGCCTCTGGGGAAGTGTGCCTCCTGCCTCAGTAGGGGGTTAGGGGATGGGAGAGGAAGTGGAGGGAGCTAAGGCTGGAGGGAAAGGAAGGAGGCACTGATGGTGCTGTAACTCAGTGGTCTTAAAGAAGGTACAGCTTTACCAACCCCACTTCCAAATTGGTTTGCCACATAATATACAGTTTGCCCACACTTAATTTTACACTTTAGGTAGAGTGTAGTGGTGCATATCCGTAGTCTCACTACTTAGGAGGCTAAGGCAGGGCGACCACAAGTTTGAGGCCAGTCTAAGCAGATTAGTGAGACCTTGCCTCAAAATAAAAAGCTAAAGGAAGAGGGTTGGGGCTATAGATAGAGCACTTACCTAGCATTGGGGAGACCCACCAAAAGAAAAAAAAAATTTCAGATGAGCAACAAATAAGTTTTCAGAATGAATATGCATTACTAAACCTGGCTACCTTACCCCAAAGCACATTTAGCAGTGTCTGGAAACATTTTGGTTATGGGACTAAGCCAGGTTTGCTGAATTGTATGGTTTGGAATAGCTAATCCATGGAATAGCTCAATATTCTATGATGACAGGACCCCTGCTCTGCCACCACCTTCACCCTCATCACTAGGAATTATCTGGCCAATGTGACAGTACCATCCCTTATCTGAAATACTTGGGATCAGAAAGCTGTGGCTGTCCCCAGATTTTGACGTGTTTGTGTGTGCATGCTCATGGGGATGAGACCCAGGTCTAGCAGTGTTGCATTGGTACCTCCTACACACCTTGTTTCTCTAGCCTGGAGCTAATTCTGTGTAGTGCTGCCAGCATTTTGAATGTGATCCTTTGCATAGGGTCACATGTGGAATTTTCCACTTGTGCCATCATCCCATGTCACAGTCAAAATGTTTTTCAGTTTTTAGATTTTTGGATTAGGAGTGTTCAACTAGTCCTGGGAAAGGTACAAACCTACCAACTGACAGCTGATGGACCCAGTACCCACCATGACCCTTTGCTTCTCCAGTAGGTCTGATGCAGGGGTCTTCCTTTTGAATGCTTCTCCCTGCTTTTAAATTGTTTTGTATGCTTATTTGG